TTTTTGGCATAAAAGAAAAATGGATAATTTTGACCCATACAATGTATTGTTGGCTATTGCTACAAATATATCTGTGCTGCTTATGAGGGGTCCAGGGTCACATTTGTGTATTAAAAATGATGTGTTTTCTTGCAGATGCTGTTTGATCAGACTCAGAGAGCCATTACCCAGCAGCTCACAAACCTGCTTTCACAGTACGTCACAATGCGCACACACACACACACACACACACACACACACACACCACATCACATTGCTAGGGACAATTTAGTAGTCGCTGGATATTGGTAGGGACATGTCCTGAGCGTCCCTACAAAAATTCTACACCCTTATATATGTTCTCATAATAATGTAAAATATTTATGTATTTATATGTTTTATTGTCTATTTATTTGTCTAAATTTGTATAATATAATAAAATCAAATATCATATTGTCTTATTTATATAATATAATATAATCATATCAATATACAAATCATTAATATTATAAAATACAATAAAATCACACACACTCTTAGCTGTCCATCGTGTTCGATGATGACGCTTGCTCCAGAGATGGGAGTGGGAAGGGGGTGGGTTCAGCGATGTTGCCGCTGGTGCCACTTCTCGTGGGCGTCGAGTCCGATCCTTGAGCCGCACACTCTTCCGCAGATGGAGCAAGGGAAACCAGATACCAGGGGGGTACCAGCCGCCCTCTGGTGTCTCTTAGTGCGTCTCTCGGATCGTCGGTCTTGGTTGGTTTGATGTATTTGAGAGACTGCAGTGGCACAGGTGACCTGCCAGGCTGACCTGTCAAGTGCCAGAGATTCAAGCTGCGTGAGGGGAATGTTCGCTCGCTTTAGGAGGTCCCTGGTGTAATCCTTAAAGTGCCGTTTTTGCCCTCCAGCAGAGCGCTTTACGCCCATTAGTTGACTGTAGAGGACTTGGCTGGGCAGGCGATGTTCAGGCATGCGTATGGTGTGCCCTAGCCAACGCAGATGTTTTTGGGCCACTGCTGCTTCCATGCAGATTGAGTCAGTATTGCTAAGGATGACTGTGTGGGGAATTCGAGCTTCCCAGGACAAATTGAGGATCTTCTGTAGGCAGCGGATATGGAAGGCCTCTAGGTTACTAATGTGCTGGCGGTATGGGGTCCATGACTCTGCCCCATAAAGCAGAGTGGAGAGACATACCGCATTGTAAACAGCGACCTTGGTACTGATCTTCAGGTTATGGTTTTCAAAAACCCTGTCAACACACACACACTCTCACACTCACACACCCACACCATATCACAACACACACACACACACACTTTCACTGCATTAAAGCGTAACGGTTTGTTCTGTGACAGGTTTCTGCCGCAGATTCGCGACACTCGCCGTGAGTTTGTCCGGATCGGAGACGATCTCGATGCCGCCGTGGTGAAAAGCGCTCAGGTGAGCCGACACAAACCCGCTGACGCTGAGCGAGCGACTCACCTGCTGCTCGC